TTACATTTAAAACCGAACGGAGGATAGTATCTGATATCAACTAACCTCCACCAATTACAATTGAAAACCCTACGATTAGACATAGAAACGGTCTCCCGTGAAAGAGCAACACGGATCGTTAACCACAAAACGGTCGGGCTTGACACAACTAACACTGGTCGTATAGATCTGTATATTTCTAATGACATAAAAATAAGTTAAATTTCCAATAATCCCGGAAAACCTAGCAACATAGAATATAAGAAGAATCCAAACAACAAAATACCAATAACTAATAAGATAAATTTCTCGAACTATAGCACCTTGTTCAACCCATGGTGGTGGTTTACGAGGAGGCCGAATAATCAGAACCGATGTGATTGATCCTCCATTGTTGGCCGAACTCATACTTTCCCCAAACCTATCGCTACCCGGCCCAACCCTCCTTGCCCCTCGTACGTACTTAAGCCACTGCTCGTAGTCGTCCTGATCACAGCGCCACGACCTCTCTCGACTCAAACAAGACATTCGATTTGGGTCCACACCAAACTCACGTTCTGACCTTCCATCGTATGCCTTCCAGTGGCAGAAGTAGTATAGGGCCTGGGGGGGCTTGTGCCCCTGCAACCTTTTGTTTGTTTGTTTTTCTTTTTAAAATAATGATGTTATTAATTAAGATAACAATACAAGGTAGGGGGACATTAAGCCAAAACCTACCAAACCAAACAACGTACGGGTAACTAATCGCATCAAATTTACAATGCCCATGAATTTATTATAACTGCTCGGGCTACTATCAAAGTTATTAGCGTTAGCCGCTACATAATGAGTTGCCCTATTACATGGTTTTTTAATATAAGAATACATGAAGTTGTGATTTTGAAATATCTCTTGCCACGCTTTGGAGACCATCTATTTTGCTTCACTTTGAATGAGTTTTTTTACTACACTTTCTCATTTCTTATAGTATTTGTTCTGTTAAATGCCAACATCCTTGACTGGGATGAGTTTTGAACCTGTGACCTCCTCCTTAGGAGTGTCACTGTGATGCCATCGAACCACAAGATGATTGGCTTACTTTGAACGAGTTGAACCTTTATTTGACAATTTTGGGCCGACCTTAATGCTTGAGATGCTTAAGAATAATTCAAAGATCTATTTTAGGGTAGGGGCAGAGCTTGGGCATTGGGCCCGACTAAATTGGCACAAAAAAAATCAAAAAAGATTTACACGAAAGTTTTTACACTAAAAATTAAAATATTTTTTTAAATTGGGGGTGAGCCAGGGCCTAAATTGACCCCTTCCTAGATCCACCAGTGATTTAGGGACAACATTATTTTAACGGCTTTATCAAATTAAAAAATTATATTTAGAATTAAATGAGAACAACGATAAACGTGAGAACACTCACATTTACTGAACTAGTTGTTTTTGTTGTTATTGATGGATTGAGCTCAAGATTCACCAAAGAATTCATATGAATCGGTTTTGCACGCTGATTCCTAAGGTAGTAAAAAGTCGAGCCTTTTTATGTAATGTGCCCCTCCAAGTGCACCGAGTATTGAGAAGAAGAAACTTGGATAGTTTGAATAAAAGTCAACTCTTTCTTTGCCAACTCATCCAAGTGGCTGTTAGAGGCAAGAGAGTGTATTTATTAATTTAAACCCTTGGAGCCTAATTCTATCACATCAAGCCATTGTGTATTCTTTGTTTAATCTTCTCTTTGGTGTATTTAAAGCACTTGTAAGACCGCATTGAATGCAAGTGATAAATATATAAACTTCTTCTTTTACTCTCTCCATCTCTCATGTTCTTCAATGGTTCATCACCTTTTCTAGCATAGTATCAGAGCGTTTAAGCTCGTAGACCTTACTTACTTCCGCAAGATTACTCTACTCATCTTCAACTCCCTTTCATCGGATTACTTTTTTCGGGATTTCTTGTGTGTTCAGTCTTTAACCTAGTCGTTGGCTGAGAAAGATGGAGAACTCGAAGACTGTTGTCATACCTGTGACCTTGAAGGGAGTTAACTATCTCCTATGGTCAAGGATAGTGAAACATGTCCTTGGTGGAAGAGGCTTATGGGGTCATATCATTTCAGGAGAAGCTCTAAAGCAAACCACTCATGGAAAAGATGACAAGGAGACTGTGGGGTAGATGAAGGCAAATGGGGTCAAGACCTCATGGTGATGTCTATTGTCCAAAGCTCACTTGATAGTCCCGTAATGGAGGCCTATTCCTAATTTCCTACTATGAATCCGCAAAGGAACTTTGGGAAACTTTGCAAAAGGTTTATGGAAACATATCCAACCTTAGTGGGGTCTTTGAAGTGAAGAAGGTCCTCAACAACCTGAATCAGGAGGACATGGGCTTCACTCAACACTTCGGAAAGTTCAAAGCTTTATGGGCAGCGTTGGAAATGATGAGGCCAAACACCACTGACCCATCTATTCTAATGAGAGGCGTGAGCAAGACAAAGTCTTAGGTCTGCTCCTCACTCTTAATCCAGTCTTTAATGATCTCATCAAACACATTCTAAGGGCAGAGAAGCTGCCTAACCTAGAAGATGTATGTGCTCAAATATAGAAGGAGCAAGGTTCGGTGGGACTTTTTGGTGAAAAAGGAGAACTAACCATGGACAACAAAGCTGAGAAAATGGAGGGTGCTTCAGCAAACAAGGTGTCCTTCAAATCAGGCGACTTCAACAAACAAGGAGATAGGCGTGTGACCTGTGAGCATTGCAAGAGGTCAGGCCACTACAAGAACAATTGCTGGATACTCCCTCCACATCTCAAGCCACCATCCAGGTTCAGTCAAGCTAAAGCTCATGAAGCTATGTGAAGCAATGAGGCTGGAAAGGCTAGGATATCCACTTCTCAATATGTGGGATCTTCTTCTCAAATTCCTAATGGTGATGCCTTCATCCGCAAGTCAGACATTGAGGGCTCACATCAAAGCACTCAATGCAAACTCTAGTAACATTAGTAGTAAATGCTTAAATGCATTACATGCTGCTAAACCATTAATTGTAGATTCAAGAGTATCTCATCATATAATTAAGGATTCTAGTCTTATTACCAACATTGAACCTGTTTCAGGTGATGTTGTGATTGCTAATGGTGATAGGATACCTATTAGAGGTATAGGGGACCTGAAAGTTTTTTATAAAAAGTCTAAAGCTTTTTACATGCCCACATTTGCATCTAACCTTCTTTCTGTTAAGAAGGTTACTATTTATCTTAATTGCAAAGTTATTTTTAGTCCTAATGATGTTCAGTTCCAGGATATTAATACGAGTAAAATGCTTCAAAAGGGTGTGAGCAAAGGAGACTTGTATGTGCTTGAAGATACCAATCCTAAACTTGTTTTACCTACTGCGTTTAGTTCTATTCATGTTTTGGCTAATGATGCTTTGTGGCATGCTAGATTAGGTCACCCCCATTCTCGTTCCTTGTGATTGATGTTGCCTAATCTATTGTTTAAGAATGAAAGTTGTGAAGCTTGTATTCTTGGCAAACATTGCAAGTATGTCTTCCCTAAATCTATGACTATTTATGAGCATTGCTTTAATCTTGTGCACTCTGATGTTTGGACTGCTCCTTGTGGATCTAGAGAAAATCATAAGTACTTTGTAACCTTTATAGATGAAAAATCAAAAAATATTTGGCTGACTTTGATTCAATCTAAAGATAGAGAGTTCTAGAAGCTTTCATCAACTTTCAGAACTACGTAAAGAAAATGTGCAATGTGTATATAATCACTCTCTCTCTCTCTCACACACACACATATATCTAATTATCTATTTATTTATTTATTGAATTATTTATTTATATATTACGTTAGGGCTCTTGAGACGACTCATGAGCTCAAACGAATTGAGCTCAAAGGAATTTGCTTAATGAGCCGGCTCGAGTTTGGTTCGAGTTTTGATCGAGCGACTCATGAGTACGCCCTAAAATGTGCTTGTATAAAGTCCGAATCATTGAAAACTATCAAATTAGGACCTAAAATTTCACATTTTTTATTTATTTAACTTTTCATTAATCCTGCTGCTATTTTTTGGTTAATTTTCTTCACAAAAGTTTGTGAGTTTAATAAAATTAAATAATACAACAACAACTAATAATATTTATTTAGTAAAATTAAATAATATTTTAAAACTATAAAAAAAAGAAATACTCACTCCGTGATTAGTTTATAAACATAAGTCAAACTGCTTTTTTTAAGCTGTTAATCTCGCTGTATTCTTTCTAAATTTTTCGATATCCCTTTTCTTATTTTTGTGATTTCATGAAAGAAAAGTTTTTAAAATAATATACCTTAATTCCGCCAATATATGATATTACTTTTGTCCTTGATCCCCATTTCAAACTTGCTACTTGTCAACAATGTTTAGAGTACTATTATACTTGTTTTTTGGGTCCATTACCTATGTACGAAGATAAGCCCATAGATCCTAAAGAGTAACCTTATTTCATCAATTATTTAATGAATTTCATGCACATTATGGTAGCACACCCCCTCCCTCAAAACCAACTACTTCATCTAAAGGAAAATCATTTTGCAAATCTATGTAGAAGAAATCAACTCCCGGAGTTGACTTTCCTTGTGAATAAGCTTTCTTTAAGAAGAAATCAACTCCCGGATTAATAAACTTTCTTTATATCTAAGTATCTAACATTTCCTTGTGAATATGAAGAAGGGAATGACTTTGACGTTCTCAAATGGTGAAAGGACAAGGAATGTTTCCGATTTTATCGAAGATGGCGAAGCAAGTGTTATCAATGTCGGTGTCAACAGTATTCATGGAACAAGAATTTGGCGAAGCCGACAACATCCTAACGGATTATAAGACAAGATTAAGTGCACAATCTCTTGAGACACTCATTTGCTTCCACAATTGGTTGAAGGACCGACATAGAACTCAAGAAGTTTAAATCGCCCCCAACTACCAGTTTATGAAGGAACCAACGACCGACGCTGGCAGAGATTCCAACTGATTTCTAGCAGATGTATTTAATGTTTTAAATTATTCTCAATTCTCAACTGTACTTTATATATCAAATAAATAGTTAAATATACATTTGATTTTTAATGTCTAGCACTTGTTGAATTAATTCGAAAAAAAAAATAACCAAAGGACCAGCCCAACCCGGCCTGGGACTGGACCGAGACCCATCCGGGTACCCGGACCGGAACTAGTACAAACCAGGCCGGTATCGGGCCTGAATTTTGTAGTACTGAAGCACGCCGGGCCTGAGCCTGACCCAACCAGGCCCGATTCCATCCCTAAGCGAAAATGTATTGATTATGCATTCCTACACCAGTTCGGGGTTTATAATGGCAATGCATGGTACAGCCAAAACCACATTGGCATCTTTCCGTGAAATTGTTTTGCGGGTGTATCTTTGTGACTGTGTACCAAAAACCTATCGGTGATTAAATAAAAGATTTAGGTATCTGATGCATTATTATCATCAGTGCTGCTCCACCAAAAACTAACAGAAAAACTTGTAGTGACTGAGCGTACATAATGCCACCATTTCGGGGGTATGTAAAGCATCTCTCCTTCCTCTAAGATGCAATCTTGGAACTCAAGATCTATCATTTTTGGAAATTCGCTTTCATCTATATTGTCCAGATCCACCTTCAAACATATTAGACAGCATTTGGTCAGAAGAGCATTAGAATAATTCCAATGAATGCAATTGGTAATATGTATAAAACACTTAAAAAGACATGTCCTGTTGAGCAGGTATGCAGCGCCGGTCCAGGTATAGGGGCAACCTAGGCTACTGTCGTGGGCTCATTATATGTATTACGTAGTATAAAAAGTAAACCCCACACCTGGCTTAAGCACAGACTCAGACTTACACACTCACGGGAGTACAGAATGAAGCTACTACTGTCTACCGAGATCAAAAGCTCCCAAGAGCCGAAAATCAGACTTGAAATTTTGAGTCTACAACTCACGCTGCATCTGAACTCAGAAGAAATCTCTGAATTATCAATTATAACAATGGTAAATTGATTTATGTTGATTAAATCCATTCATCTACTCATCTATAGATTTTATACTACAAGTGAATTGTACAGCTTGATCTATTTCCTTGGTTGATTCAATCTAGCATCCATTTTATAAATCAATTTATTTTTTATTAGGACTTACAGATTCAATTAAGGCATAGATTTTCACTCACAACAGTGAACTATAGAATTAATATGTCGATAAATATTCAAATTTTGATCCATATCCTAATGTCTCCATTTCTTAACAAATTTTGTTGCTCCTGTGACAGGAGTTTCTGAAAGTTGTAACTATTGTGGACCTACTTGATGTCTTCAATGTCACAAAAAGGTTGAACATGATGCATAATATCAATCTTATACCGTCATAGATGATTTTTCATCCAAGAGCATCAAAAAAATTGTTTTTTATGATTTCTTATATTTTATTGAAAAAAGACTTAAATTTTATGTATTGAGTTTTATATTTTACAATGAATATTTTGTTATAGATTTTTATGATATCTTTAGGGGCCTTTTCTTCGCATATTGTATCGGAAATGTCAGGACCGGCCATACGAGTGACAAAATGAACCATCATAGAACAGTAGCACTTTTCAATGTGGTGGTATACACACACCACACACATATATATTACTATGATCACATAGCAAAAAAACAGAAAGAGTGTAACCTGGCTGGAATTGCAGAGCATGGTCTCAGTGTGTGGGTAAAGCTCTTCTGAGAGACGAGAAGAGTAAAGCCTTACATACTTTTTTCCAACCACCTGAAATTAAGATTGCGATCATCTAGGGAAAGAATCATGGAAATGGCACACATGAAATTTTTTAAGGGTCTCTTTGGATCTTTGATAATGCTAGAGAAAGAAAATGAGGAGGAAAAATGAGACATTGGTTGAAACTCAATAAATATCATCATCATCATCATTTCCCCAGTGCCACAAAGGCTCCCACCTAAGGTGGGGTAAGGGGGGGTCTGATGTATGCAGCCTTACCCCAGTACTAAAGCGCAAACAGTTTAGTGAGTCATTTTGCTTGATTCCATCATATACCCAAGCCAAAAAAATAGTGAGTCTTTGGCTCCATTGCAAATGATGGAAATTGAAACTCAATAAATATAACTTCTAAAATTTGTTCAAATTCAATTCTTAAATAAATATCTACTCCGTATTATATAATTACCAGCAAATCTAAGCTTACATGAGAAATGTTTACAAATATTGATCATATTTCACTTTTCTTTCCATTTTGCAATGTAAAACCAAACATAAAATTCAACTTCATTGGTGTTTCCTTCCCCTAGCATATGTGGTATCCAAACATAGCCTATAGGAACAGGAACAAAGTTATGTGGTCATAAGAACATTCATGTTCTTCTCAGAAAAGTGAATTGAACCTTATCTCTGATCACCTAAAGAGTCATTTTCCCATTCTTTGACTGATCTAAATTCTTTGTTTTGTTTCTCAGTTTAGAAAAAAAGATTAAAAATTTCACTCATCGGTGTAAATTCCATCCCAGAAAAGATATGGTGTATCATTAATGCAGCCACAATATGAGTGAGAAAGTGCATGTACATTGATCAGCTGCTGGGGGTATGAATATTGGATTAATTAATTAGTTTGCGCCAAACATGAGCAACTATACCAGAGTTGGACGAAGAAAGCTGAGCTAAGTTGAGGATTCAAAAGCAGCTTCACTCCAACTTGGACTCATGACGAGTATGTTAAGGTTGCTAGGCCATCAACCGGATGAGACGCACCACCCCAATGTCCGGGAATGGTGTAAAATATGTGAGGGTGGGGTGGAGTTGAGGTGGTGATAAGAATAGAAAATGGAGTTCTAGATTTTGTTTTGAGGCATGGAACATTGGGTCTCTTACATTGGGTCTCAAACATCTGATATAGGTGGTGATAAGAGGTTATGAGGCTGATGAAGATTAGCATTATGTGCATGTAAGAAACAAGTTATGTTGGAGAGAAGGCACGAAAGATTAATCTCGGATGTTTGAAGTTGTGGTATTTGAGAAAAGAGAAGACTATAAATGGAGCAAACATTATTGTGACGTGTGAGTATACTGAGTATGTTGTGGAAGTCTTGAGAAAAGAGAAGACAATATTTTTTCACCTATCTGCTCCATGAGACAATCAAGCAGTTCAAATATCTTCTTACAAGATTTAACATATTCAGAGGCACCAACAGACTTCACGAAAGTAGTCCCAGCTGGAGATTTCACCAGAAAGTTAATTACGATTCTTTACTTCAGATCACTCCATCTGTCAGACATAATGGAACAGACGAATTTTCTCTACTGTTTCTTATGATTGCCAATAACTTGTCGGTATGTTCAACGGTTCCACCTCTTTTTTCAGGAGTGGAACTCGCATGGCATGATAAGTAGGAACTGGCAGATTTGGATCATAAGCACCAATGGCAGCAACCATATCTTCAAAGCTCTTAAACTTAACGGAGTTGAAGGATAAACTAGCTTGATGCCAAAGACAAAAAATGTACCGATGAACCTTGAGCACAACTTCTCTGTCTGTTGCTAGACAGCTTCTAGACAGCTTCTAAATTTTTAAAGAATTGATCAATAGGTCCCTTCTTAGACACATCATTTCTTGTTACAAATTGATCTCGTCTTCACTATCACCATAGCCTAACCCTTCAAAATCAACCCCTCTCTGATATGAAGCAGGAAGAGCTTGTGGCGGGACCGGACTTGGGCCCACTTCCGTGGGCCGGTTACGGGCTGTCTTTATAATTATTTATTATTATTTTAAGTTAATGTTATGTTTTGATTTGGGCCTTTTATTAGTAGAGTACTTAGTAGAGTAGTATGGGCCTAATTAGGATTTAATTAATTTGGTCTTGATTAGGGTTGCTTGTAGAAGGCTATTTATACCCCTCGCCAGGGTTCATTCTTATTATCTTGGAATAAAAGTTTGGTTTAGCCTTTTGGCTCTAGGCAACGATATTTTTTTATCGTTGATTATCTGGGCAACGGTTCAACCCGTTGATTTTGTTTTTCTGTTCTTATCAATTGGTCCGACTTGCCGGATCTCGTCCCGCCAAGATGACAAGAACGCAGAATGAACGTTTGACAGAATTGGAGACCGAACAAACCCTAATTAAACAGCAACTTGAGGCGCAGGGCTTGAAACTTGATGCGCAGGGAATAAAACAAGATGCGCAGGGACTGATGCTGGAGGAACACGGCGCTCAGCTCGCGGAAATTGCGGCTTCGCTGGCGGTGATCGCGAAAGCCATGGCCTCGCTGGAGAAAATTCCGACCGCGAGCCCTGACAGTGACTCCACCGCTCATGGCGCACTGGTGACCGTGTTGCAGGCAGTCTGCGCAGCACGACTTCCACCTTGCTGCCCTCGTTCGATCGCGAAGACCCCATCGGGTGGTTGGCAAGAGCCGAGCAACAATTTGAACTCAACAAAACCCTACCGGGCAGGAAAGTGGCCGCAGCTACGGTGGCTATGGAAGGGGCTGCCCTATATTAGGTAACTTGGTTGAAGGGGCGCAAACCTAACATGTCCTGGGAAGAATTCAAGCAAGCCTTGGTGGCTAGATTTGATTCCCGATATCAGGGAAACAGATTTGAACGGTTGTCCGGCGTCAAACAAATTGGGCAAGTGGAAGATTACAATACTTTGTTTGTACAACTGGCTAGTCAAGTACCCGGATTAACTGACGATCATTACTTGGGCTATTACATGAGTGGGCTTAAGGAAACAATCCGAAGTTCGTTGCGATTACTTCGGCCAGAAAACCTGGAAACAGCTATGGAATTAGCTCGCGATATAGAGCATAATCTGTCCGTCCAAAGTGGAGAAAGTGGCAGCCTGAATTATCATTCTTCAGGGGTACGTTCCAGCAGTTTTGTAAGGGCAAACACGGGTCCCCCGTTGACTGACACTGGTGGCAGCTTACAGGGCTCAGGGGGCAGCTTTGCGAAAGATAGTGGACAGCCTCCGGGGACGAAGCCAGGCCTGTCTGGGCAGCCTACGACACGATCTCAGTTCACTCGACTACCGCCAAGAGAGTTTGCAGAATTGAGGGCGAAAGGATTATGCTTTAGGTGTAAGAAACCATTTACGCCGACACATGACTGCCCCTTTAAACAGCTGCGGGTAATGTTAGCTGAGGAGGATGAAGAGTTGGACCTCAAGCAGCATGAATTCTGCGAAATAACCGGCCAGGAAAGGGTTCAGGAAAGAGAAGAAGAATATTTTCCAGTCTATTCTATGTCTGGAAATTTCAGTTCCCGATCCGCGAGTTTTCAACCTTGAGGACAAGGTTATTTTAAGGGGGATGGATTGATATGAAGCAGGAAGAGCTTGTGGCGGGACCGGGCTTGGGCCCACTTCCGTGGGCCGGTTACGGGCTGTCTTTATAATTATTTATTATTATTTTAAGTTAATGTTATGTTTTGATTTGGGCCTTTTATTAGTAGAGTACTTAGTAGAGTAGTATGGGCCTAATTAGGATTTAATTAATTTGGGCTTGATTAGGGTTGCTTGTAGAAGGCTATTTATACCCCTCGCCAGGGTTCATTCTTATTATCTTGGAATAAAAGTTTGGTTTAGCCTTTTGGCTCTGGGCAACGGTATTTTTTATCGTTGATTATCTGGGCAACGGTTCACCCCGTTGATTTTATTTTTCTGTTCTTATCACTCTCACATTTAGAATATCTCAATTTCCATGCTCTCTTCATTATTTTTCCTGAGTACAGATCATTAGAAGAAGTAGAGTATAGGCAAGAAGCGTGAAGAGTAAATTAGGAATAAACGATTGGGACTAGGAGAGTTTTCCTTTTTATTTTCAGGTTAAATAAAATACATGTAAATTGGATTAATTGTGACATAAGCCACATCCCGCCTTCATTAATTTGCCTGCGTAATCATTTTCTGTTGCGCCTTTTCCAAATTACCCCTCAAACGACGCAGCAACTCGTCCCGTACCCCCAAAATCTCTGCCACGGCTGCCACCCGGCAAGAACCATCATAAGGACGAAGGCGGCCTGCCATACACCAATTCAAAAGGAGTCATCCCGGCAGCAGTTTGGTAAGTGGTATTGTACCAATACACCTCCCAAAACAACCAACGAAGTCACTTATTTGGCTGGTCACATGTAAAACAGCGAAGATGTGTCTCCAAAACACGACCAAAATCTGTTTGGCTAACTGTTTCAGGATGGTTCTTGAACAACTCTTTCCAAAAGGTACTGACAAATAGCGCGTCTCTGTCACAGACTATGGGCCCCGGAATACCATGCAACCGAAAAATCTCCCAAATGAAAATATCAGCCACAAACCGAGTAGTAATTGGCGGTTTTAATGCGATGAAATGTCTATACTTGGACAACCTATCCACCACCACCATAACACACATATACCCCTGAGAATTAGGCAAACAAGTAATAAAATCCATGGCCATGCCCTCTCAAACTAAATCTAAAATCGGCAGCGGTTGTAGTAACCCTGCTGGGTGGCATTGCTTCATTTTTTGATTTCTGGCAGACCAAACATTTGCCCACATATTCTTGCACCTGACGGAACATGCCCTTCCAATACACACTGCTTGCTAATCGTTGATAAGTCTTGAGAGCCCCAGCATGGCTCGCTTTCGGTTTGTCATGAAATTCATGCAATAGTTTCGGAGTCCACTCAGAAGTGGCTGCCAGCACCAACCTTCCATTAAAAAACAACATGCCCTCTACTATTTTGAACCCCATCCGGCTGTCAGGACCGGTCTTCAAAATAGTCACAATGCCTTGAATAAACTCATCACGCCCTTGTTCCTCCAATACCTCTCGCATCTTTGCCCAATCTGGCACGCTCGATACTGTCAACAACCCCTCATCAGCCCTTCCAGATAGGGCATCAGCCACTGACTTGTACTCAATTTGGATATCATACCCCAATAATTTGGCCACCCAATTCTGCTGCGACGAAGTCACAATTTTGTGCGAGAGAAGATGTTTGAGGCTGTAGTGAGCGGTGCGGACAGTAAAATGACGATCCATGAGATATGGCCACCAATGTTGTAATTCCAAAACCAAACCCATTAATTCTTGTTCATTGATTTAGTAAGGGTGCAATCAGCCAACGATTTACTGAAATAAGCAAGTGGACGACCTTCTTTCATCAAGACTGCCCCTACCCCAATACCTGAAGCATCGAACTCGATCACAAAATGACCCTTGAAATCCGGCATGGCCAAATTGGCGCTTACGTCAGCGCACTCTTCAAACGAGTGAAAGCAGTTGTTGCTTCCTTAGTCAAATCAAATACAAGTGGTGTGTTTTTTCTTCGGCAAGGCTGTCAGAGGCCATGTTGAGTCCATAATTTTTTATGAAACGGGGGGTAATAGCCCATCAACCCTAAAAATCCGCGCACATCTCGGACAGAACGCGGTTGTGGCCACTTGACTACTGCACAAACTTTAGAAGGATCCATCTCCACGCCCCCCACTAAAATGATGTGGCCAAGTTACTCAACCTTAGACCCCCCGAAGACGCACTTCTTTCTATTGGCCTTGAACTGATTCTGATGTAAAATGCGCAGCACCTATGTCAAGTGCTCATGATGCTCGACTACTGTCCGACTGTAGATCAGAATATCGTCGAAGAATACCAAGACAAATCTTCACAAGAACAGCCTAAACAAATCGTTCATCGTGGATTAGAAGGTGGCAGGTGTGTTTGTTAACCCGAAAGGAATTACGAGAAACTTGTAGTGGCCACTATGAGTGCAGAAGGCTATTTTAGGAAAGTGCCGATTAGCCACTTGTATTTGATGATATCTGGCTCGGAGATCAATTTTCGAAAAAATTACAGCTCCATATAGTTCATCTAACATCTCCCGATTTACTGGAATCGAATACTTGTATGAACAGTCATCTTATTTAATTCCCGGTAGTCCACACAGAATCGCCAACAGCCATTTTTCTTTTTAACCAATCTTTATAACCAAGAGAATTGGGCTCGATAACGGTCTGGAACTTGGCCGAATGATGCTTGCCAATAGCATATCGGACACAAGGTTTTCAATCTCATCCTTCTGGCTATGTCCATATTTACAAGGCCGGACAGATGACAGCCCTGTTCTTGGTGCCAACTAAATCCGGTGGTCTGTAGATCGTTAAGGGGGAAGGTCCCGCGGCTCTCCAAATACTTCCTCAAACTCTCGCAAAACATCAGCCACTAGCTCCTCATTTGGCCTCAAGCCCTCAATAGTAGTGGGCTCTCCCTCTATCATAACTCCCCAAAATTCCACATCCCTTGTCCAAAGCAGGGCCGGCAGTCCCACCTGTTTCAACACTGCAGGTCTGTCATGCCAATCAAATGAGATAGTCATCGTATCCTAGTTGGTCCGGACCTCTCCCAAGGATGCTAGTCATGCTACTCCCAGTATAACATCCACTCCCCCCAATGTAAACACGTAACAATCTTCTGTACTTCACACCAAGGAAGTGAGATTGACATCCCCCTTATAAACCCCTTCTGATTCTTGGCGACGATCGTCCCTCAATTGTACACCAAACTTCCCTGTCTTTTCCGCCCTTAGTTTAAGTCGAGATACAAGGACTGCTGATATAAAGTTGTGACTAGCGCCACTATCCACCAAGACGGTCACTATTAACCCCTTTGTTACGCCTCTGAGTCGCATAGTACAGGGAATAGAAATTACAGCCATGGAATATATGGGCAAGTCCATATCAGCTACCTACTGCTCCCCCTGTTCCCCTAATTGCTCGAAATCCTCGAGTGGGACAAAAGATTCAGTTTGGTTGAGGTCGAGGTCCTCATCATCCTCGGCAACCATTACTCGTAACTACTTTAGTGGACATTCATGCTCGGGGGTATAGGGCTTCTTGCAGCGAAAACAAAGCCCTTTTGCACGCAGGTCTGCCGGCTCCTGTGGTGAAACGCGCGTGAACTGAGCGATTCACAGACTGGTCAATCATCGTTGATCCGGTCCTCGGCGTAAGACCTGGAGATTGCAAGGAAACTGTGCCTCCCTCTATCCTTTGGGTTCCGGTAACTGGGGTGGAGAAAAACCCTGAAAACTCGTCAATCTTGGGGTAACTACCTAAACGGCTATGTTGTTTTCGATATCTCTGCTCCATAGCAGCTTCCAAATCAGTTGGCCGTAAAAGCCGCAAGAAACTGCGAATTGTGTCCCACAACCCTTTCATAAAGTATCCCAAGTAGTGGGCATTACTCAAACTTAGGACCTGACTTGCTAGTTGAACGAACACGGTCACATAGTCATCCACGGACCTTGTCTGCTTAACGTCTTCCAACCGTTCGAAGGTGCTCCCCTTAAACCGAGTATCAAAACGGGCTAGAAGGGCTTGTGAAAACTCTTCCCATGTGATATTCGGTTTCCGCGACCGTGACCAAGAAAACCAATACAAAGCAGGACCCTCCATGGCAACCATGCCTGATGCCATCTTCAACTCGGGTCCGATGAAAGTCAAATTGTTGATTGGCCCTGGCGAGCCGTCCTATATGATCCGCCCCCTCAAAAGCTGGTAGTGCCAGTGGCGCGATCACATGCCCTGGATTGTGGGTGGGTTGTGTTACACCCCCTGATTCAGCCTTGCCTCCCTCTCCCGAAACGGGATCAGTCGGCGATTCACCCAACGCCATAACCTTATGCGCCAGTTTGTCCGGGGTTTCGGTGATAGCATCCAATTTTGCGTTTGAGGATTGCAATTCTGCCTTGATGTCTTTCTCATCTGCTTCTATCGTATCAATGCATTGTTCCAAGCTAACGATAACGTCTGCCGTAAGCCGTAGGCTAACCAATTCTTATTTTTCCTCCCCCAATAATAGTCCCTATCAAACCCTTAAATAAGACTTCACCTAACCATCCAAAAATAGCACATTAAATAATCATGAAAATAACTAAAGTAGAAATAAACAATTAAACTAAATAAACTCCAGAAATCAACCCAGCCCATCTAGGCCCATCGACGGCGACGGTAAACCAATAACGCTCCCTAACATTAGCCGATCCCAAACTCTTTTGGAACTAAGTTTGGATGTTGTTGTTGATGATGATCATTAGTTGTTAGACAAACCAAATTTATTTGTGTATTCATACCTGAGCAAGTATATTGTGGTGGGGATCATGATGCAATGGTGTCACTGTACCAGCTGGGCCAAACCAAGCATTTAGTGACCTGACTTCTCCACCTCCAGCACAACAGTAATCAGGGACAAGAATGTCATGCTTCAGCTCTTGGATCTGAAATTTAGGTAAAGACCATTAGAGTTAAGCCAGTAACATCTCAACCCTTGATGTAGACTACCCTATACGTGTACAAAAATTTGTACCTGATCAAATAATTGATGTTGAGCTAAGTATGTGGTTTCGGAAAATGTGTAGCCATTGTTCTGAATCCTCTCTAGAAGCTCAGAAAATGTGATCAGCTCTTGCTTCCATGTTGAGCACAAGTAGTTCTTTCCAACCTTCAAAATTATATAGTGTTAGTTTTATATTTTTTCCCAACCTTCAAAGTCAGTGTCAGATTTAGATTTTTCAAAAAAAAAAACATGGATCATACAATCATTAACCACAGACACATTAGAGCCCTAAAGGGTTAATGACATAAGTTGATATTATGATGTGTGTGTGTGTGTATAATATATATAACAGTGATTTCATCATGGCATTAACTATTACTCTCTCTGGCGAAAGAAACAACTTATTTTAAACACTGTCTTTTGTCACACACAAAATGTGTGCACTATGTACAAACGGAGCTAATAAGCCTAACATTTCATATAATTTGCCACAAAATTGTAAAAGAAGATTCAAAAACAAGTTACTAGTAATGTTAGCTAACCCAGCAAAGAAGTTTTAAAAATACAATATATAATATATGAATTGTGGCATTTGTAACTAACCAAAACAAAAAAAAATGTACATTGGTCAAACAAAACTTTCAAAATGCTCTTAGAGGTGTGAGGTTGGGAGATGAGGAGAAGCTACAAAAGCTACAATAACTATGGTAGAAAGGTGTTTGTCGCTTCCTCCTAGACCCTAGTGCACGAGAAGTTATATTACTCCAAAAGATTGATGATCTTATTAATGAAAAGAGACTCGCAGTTTATACTACTACCAATAGCCTTGGTGCGAAGTAAATCAAGTAAGAGTCCTAACTATTACTACCTCCGTCCCCCTAAGTTTGGGACAAAGAGGTGTGGTATGGACGTATGGTTTTTAAGAAAAAGTAGAATTGTGTGGTTGGTATTGAATTGATAGTGTGAATAAAGTAAGAATGAATTGTATCCACTCAAATATTACCAAATATGATATGGGACAAACTTAATGGGATGGACGAAAAAGGTAAAACGGGAAAAAGTTAAGTGGACGGAGGGAGTACAATATTCCTGTTACAAAAATTAAGTAAAACAGAATACCATTACTAATAGGAAGCTAATAAGAATAATAACAGTAATAGGAATCTAATGCTACTCACTAAAACAATGGTAATAAAAATAAGACTTCTTTGGTTCGTTCACGTGGTCCAAGCATAAATTTGCCAATACCGTTACTTCCTAGTTAGACATCAAGTTTGTCCTCAAACTTGAAGGGAGTAACCCGTGACACTGAGTTTTTCCACAAGACCAGCCCATATTGTTACTCCCCTTTTAAAGGTATTAAGAATTGGGGTTTCATCCTAACAAGTTAAACTTGATAAGACTTTATATGTTGGTTTGTATTTTTATTCGTGGTCGGTGTATGATAGTTTAAAAGAATGGAGTAATCCGCAACTCCAGGCTTTCCTATTATCAAACAGCATCATTATAAAACAAACAATCAACATGTGTGTCATAGCCACACTTCACTGAGTAATGGGCAAAAGCCCCATTATCAGGCTCAATCCATCAAACCCAACCTTGCTAGGAAGGTCCATACTATCTCGCTTGAAACGTTAGATTGCATACTCGAAATAGTTTCTAGATTTGGAAACTATGGAACATGCACGTTCTCTATTGCGTGTTGTTGAGCGTGCACGCTCTCGCTGCAAAACCCTCAAGAAGTTCTTACAGAAAGGCATAAGAGGCAGAGTATGTGGCAACTTAAACGTGGGCAACGAATGTACAGGAGGCAACAAGAAATTGTTAAGAGGGATTGGCGGTAGCAGCTGAATTACCAAGAGTCTTGGTAAGAAGTAACAGTCTTAACTTACACAATATTCCTAGTAGTAATTTCAGGATTACTAACTTATATAGAATGCATGACAGACCAGTGATACCACCGCTAATAGGAAAATAATTAGAATAATAATACTCCCACCGTTCCTTAAAACTTTGTCAACTTTCCTTTTTTGGTTGTCCCATTAACTTTACCACTTTACCTTTTAAGTAAAGAATTTGTGGTTTTAGTTAATTCTTTCTCCTCAGCACAAACCTCAACCACACAGTTTTTACTTTATCAATCCTCGTGCCAGTCAAACTTGGCCAAGTTTAGAGGGATAGAGGGAGTAATACTAATAATAATAATTAATACTAATAATACTAATAATAACAGGAATTTATTACTACAAACACAAACAGTAATAATGAGGATGGGGATGGGGATGGGGATGGGGATGGGGATGGGGATGGGGATGACAATGACAATGATAAATAATAATAATAATAATAATAATTATAAAAATAATAATACTAAAACTTCTTTGGTTCATTCATGTGGCCCTAGCACGTGGTGCGCATTTAAAGCTCTTCAAGAACTTGTTACTACACAGTAAAAAATACGAAAGCATATCGGAATAAGGAAATGAAGACAGTTTACAAAAATAGGTGATAAAGCAAATGATACAATGAATAAAAATGAACAGAGCCTGTGCTTGAGATGCTATCAGCTATCTACATACACATAGGCCATGTTTGGCACACAAAAGCCTCTGCCTTCTAGCTTCTCTTTTCTTTAAAAAGACTTTAAAAGACTCTAGTTGTATGTTTGGCATGACATTTTTTAAGAGCTTTTCAAAAATTAAAAGATCTTTTTTGAGATGCTACCGGGTGTAGCATCTGAGAAAAGCTCGTGACTTTTAGTATTAATTAGTCCTAAGAGCTTGTACACCAAACCGAACTAAATCAAACAGTCAACTTTTTACCAAACAGCTATCACCTTTTCTTTTTAAGATCTTTTCAGTCACTAAAAGCTAACAGTTACTAAAAAGCTCACAAAAGTATCTTTTCAGCTAGTTGTGCCAAACATACCCATAGATAAGCTGGATTTTATGCAGAAAGAATGTGTTCTGAATGAATTAAGGATTGAGATCATAGTAAACGAACTCTTAATTACCTCAACTGGTACTGTACGATATCCAGCAACACTACGTAGGTAGTTCAAATCATTCCACTTGCCCTTGGCTGGCCAATGATCCATGCAATCTCTGATAACAACAGGCGATCCAGCTAAAAAATGATCTTGAAGGAAGCTCTCCAAGGATAATGCAGACCTTTTTCCAACCATTTTACAAGAGAGTGACTTTACAGGCAAAACCCATGATACCTGCAAATTCGCTCCAAAGGATCGCGATACCTTTTCTAGAAAAATACACACACACCTTCACACATCTAATTATTAAAAACCACAGCCTTTATGATGCACCAGAAAAGTTCAAAGGCAGCGTTGTAAGGTGAATGTGGTTTACTTCAAGGCCCTTACATAGAAAAAAGGAAATGGGATGGGAGAAAGAAAGAGAAAAAAAGTAGTGATTCAAAGATGAGTTATTATCCGTGGAGCTGCTAATGGACAAGGCCCACAACAAAATTTTCAATTTTAAACTCCTATGCAACAAAATGCCATGTTTACAATAATTTAGACAAACTGAACCTTCTTTATTTCTTCCTGTGTTCTGGTGATTTTAATTCCTAGAATTACATCCACAACACCGAGATCCTTCATATCAAATTTCCTGGCCAACATACTTTTGGTAGCTTTTATCGAATTGTTGTTACTACCAAAAATTAGCATATCATCTACGTATAGACACACTATAACGTAGTCCTTTTTAGTGCCTTTCACATACACTCATTTTTCGGCCTCATTGATTTTAAATCCATTTGATAGCGTTACACTATCAAATTTTGATAAGTACCCAGCTAGTCTACGTGATAAGAATAAATACTTTGGGCAAGTGTATTCTAGAAGGTCAAAGTAGACTAGTTAGTTATTAGTTAGTTGGCTGATATTACTAATAACTACCTTCCGTTTGTGGAAGGATATAAATAGAACTATTCCTGCAGAGGGAAGGCAGGCTGTTAGATGCTGGGATTGGGACTGGGAAAGATCGAGTGTTATCTCTTTCTTTTGGGACTTGTATACGGTTTACCATATTGAAATAAAGTTGCAGATTGTTCTTGAGCTCAATTTTCTGTAGATTAGCTTGATTTCTTTGTGATTTACTGTCTAAACCTGCACATCTCTATCATTGGTATCAGAGAAGGTTTTGTGCGCTGAATGACCTGGACGCGTGCAAAGATGGAAGGGAGAATGACGGAAATCGAGGAGTCAACGAGAATTGGTTGCATCGATGGAGGCGAGCATGGCAACGATGCAAGCCAATATCGCCGCGTTGATGGAGAGAGATAGGTACAAGTCGCGGAGCAGGTCACATACATCTCATTCTTCGCATCGGACCTCACATCGCAAACACAAAAAAGGATCGGACAGTTCAGATAGTTCCGATGATAATTCAGCATCTTCTTCATCGCATAAGGATAACGAACATCACAGGAACCATCGCAATCAGCAAACAGGTTGGAAAATTGACCTACCTCTTTTTAATGGTCAAGATGCTTTCGGCTGGTTAGTTAGGATGGATCGTTACCTCAGGTTGAATAATACCAAGGAAGAAGACTGAATTGATGTTGCTGTGATTGCTATGGAAGATCAGGCACTTAGTTGGTTCCAATGGTGGGAGCGACAAGCATTACAGCGAAATTGGGAAGAATTTGAAGAAGCGTTGACCAGGAGGTTTCAACCTGACCTCGTGCATAATTCAGGACACAGTTTGAAATGGCTATGGCTTCTCAAAAGCATCTTAGTGAAGAGGTTTTGAAGAGAATATTTCTGAAGGGGCTCAAGAGAGATGTGAGGGCTGAATTAAAACTATACAGTACCAGAACCCTAGCTAAGGTTATGGATGTAGCAGGGCTGATTGAAAATAAAAACAATGAAGTCATGATCAAGAAGAACAAGGATGAAGGCAAGAAGCGGTGGAATGGGAAGAATGGATCTGATAATCAGCAGCCTAATTGGGGAAATAGTAATATGTGGAAGAGTAACCCTAATGCTACCACAAGTACCACCAAAATCATACAGGATAGCAAGTCAAACGACAGTGTGATAACACTGGTTCAGAACAGAAGTCCCAGATTATCCCAAGGTGAATTGTTAGAAAGAAGTAAAAAGGGTATGTTTTAAATGCGGAGAAAGTTGGGGAAAAGGACATGTTTGCAAGATGAAAAATTACAAAATGATGTTGGTAGAGCAGGCTGAGGGTGAATATGAGTCAGAAGAGGAATTCATAGGGTTGGAGGAAGAACACAAACCTATCTTGGAGCTAAAAACTATGCAGCTATCTGTTTTAAGCAAAGAAGGTATACCTTCCATGAATACTTTCAAGGTCCAGGGACAAATGCAGTGGCCCGGAGGGAATAAAATAGTCAGTATTCTCATCGATTGTGGTGCTACACACAACTTTGTATCCCAGACATTAGTAGGAAGATGGCAGATTCCATATACCCCAATCCATGGCTATAAAGTACAAATTGGTAATGTGATAGGGGCCAGGCTGGACTTACTAATCAGAATAGATTTAAGGGCCGGGTCTATTCTAGGAGGAAACCACATAGTTAGTTATTAGAATGGTTATAACTAATAACTACTGCAGTAGCTTGGGGAAGGGGAAATAGCTAATAAATAGAATAAGTCCAGTCAAGATTGGCAGGCTGTTAGACCTTGAGTCTTGGGACTGGGAGACTAGAGAAGTCTGTTTCTCTTTTCTTGGGAGCTCGGTTGTACTGTTACTGTTGATCGAATAAAAGTGCTCTTTGATTGTTGATTTCTATTGTCTTGTATGTGATTCATCTGAACTGTGTTAGTCAAATTGGGAGATTTCTAACATAATGGTGACTGCATTACTAATAGAGGCAGATGTACTGAACTGAAAGTGAATGTGCAGGGGATTGACATTCAACAAACCTATTATATATTGGATTTAGGAGATACAGATTTGGTGTTGGGGATGGAGTGGCTGACTGGATTAGGTGATATGGAAGTGAACTTTAAACGTAAAATTCTAATTCCCACATTTGCAAACCATTGCAAACGATACTTCTGCATCTTATCTTCTATAGGTGTTACTCCCACATTTTGTCTGATTATCTCATTCCTCAAGCAGTCTTTTTCGGTATGTCCACACATCCAACGCAACATACGCATCTCTGCCACACTCATCTTTTGAATGTGACATTGTTTCACCGCCCAACACTCTACGCCATACATTAATGCAGGCCTAATTGATGTTCGATGAAATTTACCTTTCAGTTTAGTCGGCATACCTCAATCGCATAGAAATCCTGATGCACTCTTTCATTTCATCTACACAGCTTTGATTCTATGGGGTACATCTCCAACTAATTCACCATCCTTCTTAATTATGGAGCCCAAGTAACGAAACATATCACACACTGGTATCTCCTTACCATCAAGAGTAATCTCACTATTGCACTCCATCAAACTTGCACTCTATATACTCAGTATTGTTTCGGCTCAGTCTGAAATCTTTGGTCTCCAAAAATGGAAGAAAGATAAGAAGAATAAAAAAGATAAAGTAAGATAAAATAGACAAGATAAAGATAACATAAGAGCATAGGAAGATAAAGAAGATAAAAGATAAAAGAAAAGGAGAAAGGAAAGAAAGAAAAGAGATCACTCATCCACACGAATATTCGGATTCTTCTAATCCAAGTCTGTTTGGGTCTTCCTCTCCCTCTCCTATCCACCTCTTCTAAATAAAATTCCTACCAAGCATATCAGCAAACACAAACAGGGGGATTTGTTTACCTCCTTGAGTTTCTCAAAGTATCTCCACGCACTTTCCACCATTCAATGGTAGTGTCTCAGTAAAAAAAGATGCATAGACTCCCATAAGCATCTCTAGAAGACGCATATCTCTAGACTATAGCGACCACTTGATCAGTATCTGAGTAAAGTTCGAACATGGGTAGACTGGCAAACATATACGTAGTATTACCTTTTAGACTACAAGCGTTATGAGAAGTCACCAACTGAAGAATTATAGGCTTACAATGCACATGAAAAGGTACCTGCGTCTAGTAATAAATACACAGCCTGCAAACACAAAAGTAATTGACACTAGCAGCTAACACTGTAGTCGTTAGTGAATGAGGGGCAGGCCGCAATGTTATAAGCTCAATCGCGGTAATTTTGCAACAAATTTAAAGGTGGAAGAGAGTGTGCATGGAAGAGACGAACCTCACCTCCTCTATATGAAAATCTGGAGAAACAATTGTATTTGGTTCTTCCGATTGATCCTTCCGCGGGAAAGCTTCTATTGAACTATTCGCTTTCATCGATGCCTTTCGCACTGCGAGATTAAAGTCGTCACGAAGAGTCAATCCGCCCATGATGATACCCATGTCGAGAACTTGAATGGCCTGGCAGAACTCTCCAGCTTTGTAATGGAGCCTTGCGGCATGGAGACACGCAATGGAGTACGCATCCCTCCAAATGGGAAGAACCGAATTCCAGGGACCAGAGTGCAGCTGCTCCCAGGCCATTTCTCTCGCCGCTTCTGCCGCCCTCGCATCGCCTCCCGCAGCTAGAGCCTCCATTCCCGCGTAAGCGTAGCCGCCTTCCTCCGTAATACGATGCAGCAGATTGGCTCGTTCCGCATCGAGAACCGGCGTATCCAGCACGTCGTTCTCAGTAGCTACCGCTGCGGACATCGGTGGTAGTTTGTTGCTGCAGTGTCGCACCGTCTAGAGAGAGGACTCCTGGATAGAGATAATCCAAAAATAATGGGGGTTTTCCCCAAATATTAATAATAAAGACTGTTGTGAAATGAAGAGGATAAAGAACAGATTAAAGAGATAGATATATTGATAACAAGCTCTAAATTACTTCTTCTTAATATCTGAGAATTTCTGAGATTCTAAATTGAATTACAAAGGATTCATCAAGCCCTATTTATACTAGCTGGGCTTGGTGATGAATCATCAAAGAACAGTTCTACATATTTTGCTGGTAGAATTAAACCTAGCCATCTGTCTATTAAAAGGCCTTGAATTGGATTAGTGTCCTGATGACAAGGATGAACAATTCACACTTGTCATTCTCAGGAATTTACAACACCCCCCCTTGAATGTTCATCCTTGAATATGTATTTGTTATTTTAAAAAACTTATTTGTGAAAATTAAGAGGTAAAGATTACGACATATAATGTCGTTGTATTTGGATGTACTGTCTCGTTAAAAACCTTATCAGGAAAAACCCAGTGGGATAAAAACCTGATGAAGGAAAAAAGAGTGCAGTGCATTCAAATACTCCCCCTGAATTTAGCATAAATTATGAAGGCGGCGCATGCCGATTTTCTGTACAAGTTCTATGAACTTCTTCGGGGGCAATGACTTGGTGAAGAGATCAGCCGGATTTTCACTGGATCTGATTTGTTGAATGTTGATCGTCCCTTCTTTCTCCAGATCATGTGTAGAGAAGAACTTTGGTGATATGTGTTTCGTTCTGTCTCCTTTGATGTAGCCTTCTTTAATCTGAGCTATGCACGCAGTGTTATCTTCGTAGATCACAGTCGGGTGACAAGTAATAGGCTTCATACCGCATTCATTTTGGATGTGTTGAATCATAGACCGCAGCCACACGCATTCCCTCCCGGTTTCATAAAGTGCAATTAACTCCGAATGATTTGATGATGTAGCTGTCAACGTCTGTTTCATAGATCTCCACGAGATTGCGGTATTACCATAAGTAAATACGTACCCAGTTTGTGATTTTGCCTTTTGAGGATCTGATAGGTATCCAACGTCTGCATATCCGATTAAAGAAGCTTTTGCATCTTTGTGGTAGAATAGGCCGAGATCAACTGTACCACGGAGATAACGGAATATGTGCTTGATCCCGTTCCAATGACGTCTTGTTGGGCATGAACTGTACCTAGCTAATAAATTTATAGAAAATGCAATATCTGGTCTAGTATTATTAGCTAAATACATTAAAGCTCCAATAGCACTCAGATATGGTACTTCGGGACCGAGTATTTCTTCGTCGTCTTCTCGGGGACGGAATGGATCATCGTGTATGTTGAGAGATCGAATGACCATTGGTGAAGTCAAAGGATGAGCTTTGTCCATATAGAATCTCTTCAACACTTTCTCGGTGTAATTGGATTGGTGGATGAAAATTCCATTCTTCAAATGCTCAATTTGAAGCCCGAGACAAAATTTGGTTTTCCCGAGATCTTTCATTTCAAATTCTTTCATAAGATATTTTGCAGTATTTTCAATTTCATCGGGAGTTCCAATAATGTTTAAGTCATCAACATATACTGCAATTATGGCGAATCCCGAATTTGATCGCCGAATGAAAACACATGGACTAATTGGATCATTCTTATATCCTTCTTTGAGAAGGTATTCACTGAGACGATTATACCACATTCGTCCAGATTGCTTTAGTCCATACAATGATTTTTGTAATTTAATGGAAAACATGTCTCGAGGTTTCGAGCTATATGCTTCAGGCATTTTAAATCCACCGGGAACTTTCATGTAAATGTCTGTATCAAGTGAACCATATAGATAGGCGGTCACTACATCCATTAGGCGCATTTGCAGCCTTTCAAAAACAGACATGCCAATGAGAAACCTTAATGTAGTTGAATCAACTACTGGAGAATAGGTTTCTTCATAATCGATTCCCGGCATTTGAGAAAAACCTTGGGCAACAAGTCGGGCTTTATATCTAACAATTTCATTCTTTTCATTGCGTTTACGCACAAATACCCATTTAAAACCCACAGGTTTTACGCCTTTTGGCGTAGGGACTATCGGTCCAAAAACATCACGTTTTTCAAGTGATTTTAATTCAGCATGAATAGCTTCATTCCATTTTGGCCAATCGTGTCGTTTCCGACATTCTTCTATTGATTTTGGCTCATTGTCATTGTTTTCATTCATAACATTTGTGGCAACGGCATAGACAAATATCTCATTAATATCAATATCTTTTCGATTCCATTGCATTCCAGTAGAAACACAATTTATTGAAATTTCATAATTATCAACGTTTCTATCAGTATCTGGAATATATTCCTCATTTAAGGAAGTTGAATCATTATTTGAGATGTTTGTTTTGTCAATATCATTTTCTATGCCAGTATTTTCAAATTGTTCATTTTCTTGTTCAGAAGGATGAACATCTTTGGCATCACAGATCAATTCCTGCCTTTTAGTCTTTCTTGGTTTTATGTCTTTTGATCCAAGTGGTCTGCCACGCTTTTTGCGTATAGAAGAATCATTTGCGAGAGATTTTTCAGAATTCTCCGCTGGAATTTCAATTCTGGCAGGGGCATTCATGGCAGGAATATGTGACTTTGTCACTTTCTTTGTGTCTGTGAATGCATCAGGCAACTGATTTGCAACATTTTGTAAATGGATTATCTTTTGCACCTCTTGCTCACATATATTTGATCTAGAATCCAGGTGATAATCCAGTTGCATTCCATGTTATTTCTTTCGTACTTGGGTCCGATTTATTAGTTTCTCCCCCTAAGGTTGGGAATACTATCTCATTGAAATGACAGTCAGCGAACCGTGCGGTGAATAAGTCACCAGTTATCGGTTCAAGATATTTGATTATTGAGGGAGATTCAAATCCAACGTAAATTCCCAACCTTCTTTGAGGACCCATTTTTGTACGATGAGGTGGAGCAATCGGAACATAAACAGCACAACCAAATATTTTTATGTGTGCTAAGTTTGGCTCTTGTCCAGTAACTAATTGCATTGGGGAATATTCATGATATGCAGTCGGTCTAAGCCGAATTAAATTTGCTGCATGCAAAATAGCATGTCCCCAAGTTGATGAAGGTAAATTACACTTCATTAATAATGGTCTAGCGATTAATTGTAATCGTTTAATCAAAGATTCAGCAAGACCATTTTGTGTATGGACATGAGCAACAGGGTGCTCCACATCAATCCCAATCGACATACAATAGTCGTTATATGATTGGGAAGTAAATTCTCCTGCATTATCAAGTCGGATTCTCTTTACAGAATGATCCGGAAAATGAGCTCTTAATCGTATAATTTGAGCGAGGAGTTTAGAAAATGCTAAATTTCTAGTCGATAAAAGACTAACATGTGACCAACGTGTTGAAGCATCAATCAACACCATAAAATAACGAAATGGTCCACATGGCGGGGCTATCGGCCCACAAATATCTCCTTGAATCCTTTCTAAAAATGCAGGTGATTCAGTTGCAATTTTGGTCATAGAAGGCCTGATGATAATTTTGCCAAGAGAACAGGCCTTACAAGGAAAAATCACTTGATAATGGAACCCTGATATTCTGTAATGGGTGTCCAAGTGAAGTCTTAATGATTTTATGCATCATTACTTGGCCTGGGTGACCTAAACGGTCATGCCACAACATGAATGTTTTCTGATCATCTAACTTTGTGTTAGAAACCAAATTTATTTCGAATGGACTAATATATGTGAAATATAGTCCTGAGGAATAAGCTGGCATTTTTTCACAAATACATTTAGTGCCACATTTAGTTGTCGTTAGACAAAGATATTTCTTTTGGTTTTCATTCATGGTTTCTATGTGATAACCATTTTGACGCATATCTTTAAAGCTTAATAAATTTCTCCGCGATTTGCTGGAGTATAAAGCGTCATTTATAAGTAATTTTGTCCCATTAGGGAGCATCACATATGCCTTCCCAGAGCCTTCAATGAGCTTTGCAACACCTGATATTGTATTGACTTTAGCCTCAACTAAAGTCATTTGAGAAAAATACATTTTATTTCTCAAAATGGTGTGCGTTGTAGCGCTGTCTATCAGACATAGCTCTTTATCACTTGAGTGATCCATATCTTCAATATATGTAAATAAACATAAGCTTGACCACAAATTATGCATATTATTTAACATAAGAGTACATATATTACACACATTTATTTAAAAACTAGATAAAAAGGGAAGAGAGAAAAAGTACATAAAACTAGTATTTTACAATATCAGGAGTCTAATATTTTATTTTGTAGCATTTTGATTTACGGAAAAAGCATCATCCATAATGGCATCGTCCAAAATAATGCCTTCCAATGCCACTGTGTTTTGCATTTGATTCAGTGGCTAAATTAATGGCCAGATGGACCATAAACAGATCAGAAGGACTAGAATTGATGGATCACAAATTGTCGTTCTTCATCAAAAGGTCATTATTTTGCTCAGCTACCAGCAATACTGATATTAGGTCAGAGTATTTTGTAAAACCCTTTTCTCTATATTGCAGTTGGAGCAACATATTAGAAGTATGCATAGTGGAAAAGGTTTTCTCTAACATATCAATGTCAGTGACTTTTTGTCCACATAACTTTAGTTTGGATGTTATATGGAACATAGCAGAATTATAGTCACTGGCAGATTTAAAATCCTGGAATCTTAGATTGATCCAGTCGTACTGAGCTTTAGGTAAAAGGACCTTTTGTTGTTGACTTTCCATATTCCATTCAAAATATATTTGTTCGGACAGATCAAGAGCATCCAATTCTCTTTTGATTATATTTGCCATGATATACTACAAAATTTATTGATATAAATTATTACTAACCATGCAATAATTATTTTAAAAATATCCCTTAAGTATATATAAAGCATTTGTAATTAAACAATTTTCTAGTATCTGTCCTATACTTAAACGGAATATACTAACCGCATATGTACATAAAACTTATCAATGATTCATCTATCTTGAGCACTTGTTAA